TCCAGCAGTTAGATTTTGATGGGTCATTATAACCACTCTTTATCACTTGATGCTACAATCATGGTATCAACAAAATGCCCAATCATTGGTGAACACGTTTTTATCATTTTCGTGACACAATAGGTTACCGTAGCAACAGTATGGCCTGTTAATAACACCCTTAATTATAGCTTTAGGGGCTTATAATTCAAAAACGGCACGGTGAGAATTTTTTATAATATCAAATTTTAGTAAGTAAGATAAGACGCAACTTCTACCAAAGTTTTAAAAAAATCGGTACATAGGGTTCAGAGCCACCTTAAAGTTTTGAAAATTTAAGGTGGCTCTGAACTCTATGTACAGAAGTTTTTAACCTTGGCCAAAAGTTGCGTGTTCACCAATGATTGGGCAGTGTGTTGATACCATGACTGTAGCATCAAGTGATAAAGAATAGTTATAATGACTCATCAAAATCTAAGTGTTGGAAACTGTTTTGAGCCACCTTGAAACGTGTTTCTCTAGAGTGGAGGAACAGAGAAAAACAATTTCAGCTCCAACCTTCGGCACAGAACATCTCCTGATAATTGACACGAGATCTTGTCGTAATTCGTCACCACTTTTAACTCCCATCCTAAGTGACAAAAAAGGCACATACTTCAATGGACTTTAAAACTAAAACTAAACACTGTCTTTGGCTAGAGTTCGCAAGTAAAGCAGTTTTACAACTTCAGTCGTGAAACTAGCCCATAGTATTCAACAAGGGTATCTCTATGATGCCAACCAACAACTGTGACGAAAAGTAACGGATGGCAAGCGCGGGAAAACCGATGGTTAACGCGGTAAAACCTGAAACCAATGGCAAGCGCGGGAAAAATGACGAGCCCTACAACACGATTGGTATTGCCGGGTTTTGCGACCTGATTAGCTAAAAAAAAACAACATCTTTGATTTGATTGGTTACAGCACGCTCAAGAAGTTTCTGTAAGCCAAATGCTGAACAGAACACGCACGAAACCAGACAAAACAAACTGCTCTTACAACAGTGGGAATCCGTTCCAAAGTACTGCGGATAAAGCGTTGGTTTAACAAATAAGAACGATAATTATAAGTCAAAAAAAGCAAACCTGGGAACGGCATCCTTGCCAAGAACAACGGATACGATAAAATCTTCACAGTATGGCGTGGCCGGAGCACTGGAGTGGAACAAAGTCACGAGTACAGAAGTTACTTCACGGATGATACGTCTTGTAAAATCGAGCTCAATACATTTATATGTTCCCCAATTTTAGCCATTTTTCATACTAAATCTTCATTACTTTCAAATGTAAATTTATTAATTAAAACAGATGCCTTGTTACAGTTTGGTTCATTACTTCATCTCTCCATAGNTGATACATAAATCAATTCCTCAAAGCGGTATAAGACAAATGTACTGTATGGATGTTATTAAGGAGAATTTGCATGCTGATGTCACACCTACCTAAGCACACTAGGATTGGAGTAGGCAAAGCAAATCAGGTCAGGATAAGCTGGTTTGAGAAGGACTGATAACAACGATGCCGTCCCAGCACCCAGTGAATGACCCACGATCACTAGACGATAATTCTACGGAGAAAAAAAAAAGTACAGTGGAACCCGTTTATACGGTCACCAGTGGAGGATCAAATTTCACGACTGGTCTAAATTGAGTGACGTCTTAACAGATATATCGGAATTGCACTTCTAAAAAACACATCCGGAATGCAGAGGTAATTTTAAAAAACTTCAGTGAGTACATACAATCTTAACATGGAAAGATGAACATAACTGGTTCAAGTAGCCGTATTAGCGGGGTAAAATTATAAAGGATTATACAGGTTGGGATTTCAGAATGTGGCGTTGGTCATATTAACGGGTTGGCCGCATTAACGGGGTTTCCTTAAAATGTATGGGCGGCTCGCTGGGAGAGAAAAAAAGTGGCCGTAAGAACGAGGTGATCGTTAGGCGGGCTTCCACTGTAACTGTATTTTCGTAATAGCTGACCCTCGGCGTGCTCTACTGGAAACTCGCCGATCTGTTTTTTAGACTGTTTATTCCCTTGTCGTTTTACATTCGCTGATAAAACTTGATCGCGCGCGTTGCTTGAAAGGGGAAATTATGCTTTCTTTAGCTAAAGTTTTAGCCATGACAATGGCTTCTTATTTGCCCTCGTTTTCTATGAGGGATAGTAAACTCGACCAGGTCGAATTCGTTCACTGTTCGCTCAAAGAAATCTCAGGCTCCTTTTCCAGTTGTTTCATGGACAACAGCAGGTACTTAGCAGGTATTTAGCCTACCTCGCCAGCTCTTGAGAAAGCACTCTGAAGGAGTTCTCTTTTCTCCAGGACTGACTTTACATAACGTGCACATCGGAGAATCCCCTAAAACAATGCGAAAGGAAAGATTAAGGGTAACGGGGAAAGATTACAAGTGCCGGGAAGAAGAAATAAAGAAACAAAGAGAGCAAAAATGTACGGGAAAAAATTAACAATCAAAATAATACTAGGAAATGCAGGAAACTGAACGTAAAACGAGAGAAAACCGAGCATTCATTTATTTAGCGTGTAGCAAAGGAGTTAGTCTCCGTTAACCTCAGAACAGCTTAAAGGAGCTCAGTCACGGTATTTTGAGGTATTTAATTTTAGCCACGTACAAAATTACCTTTAAATTGAATAAAACCTGAGAATAGTAGTTTACTAAATTAGAAAAACACCAAAGAGATTATGATAAGCCAAAAAGGAACAAGAATGGTAAAGGATGGAGAAGGTTAACACGGATTACAGACCACGAACTTGAAAAATTTAGACTAAACTTTACAACATGCGGAAACCGTGACATGGCTCCTTAAATTTAGCAACAACAAGGAGAAACACTTGGTGTGCATGTACCTTATGCGCGTGGCAAGTCTCCACTCCTTCAATGTTCAATTCTTCTTGCTGCCCTGTTAGGTCAGTCAACGCATCCTGTTTTCAAAATAAAAAAGATCAGGATCGGTTTCTGCAAGCATCATGATCGTAAACGACACAACTAGTTCAGCTCTAGCTTTCTCTCTGTCAGATAACGCTAAGGGAGAGAGAAACCCTCTCTCCTGAGAACGTAGCGTTGCATGACAGAGAGAGCGCCAGAACTGGACTCCGACACAACTTGTACATGCCAAATACCGTACGGTATGTCACTGAAGATGACAACCTCAGAGGGTGCCGCCTCCTTTAGGAGTGTGAGCGCCTGCCACGTGAAGACATGGGGTCGGCAAGGGTGGTGGAAAAGAGGAGAGAAAAACCTTCTTTAAAGCAGTCAAGCGCTTATAAGTAACTCTGACTGATGTCACGCCAAGATGACGTCATGAGTTGACGTCATAACGCCTTGTTGCTTGGCAACCTCTCTGACTGAAATAGAGGGCTTAGTGGCTGCGTGATGGGCTTTTGACCCAAAGGGTTTTTTTAAAACTAAATAGTATTTTGCTGGTGTCTGGTAAAGCAAACTTACATCATGATTGGAGGCCTCTTCTTAAAATATCAGTTTATTATAATAATAACAATAATAATAATAATTATTATTATTATTATTATTATTACTATTATTATTATTATTATCAAGCCCAATTTAATGGTCTTTTTCCACCTTAGTGTGCTCAATTTCAAAATATTTCTTACAACAAATCGTCTCATTTCTAACCTGCATCGAGAGAGAGCCACGAATGGACACCACAACTGCCTGGTGATCATGATCCACTGCTACATAAAATGGCACCTCGTAAATCTAAAGTCAATAACGTTCAAATCAACAACGCTCTTTTATATTATATAGTGTCAAGAGAGCATGAAGAGTGGGAGAATTAATGATCCCCCATAGAGACCTTGATCTCAAGGTGATCCCAATCAAGTTATTTTTAGATCACTAATGGTGACCCAGATTTTGATCACGTGGACAGTCCGAGCGGCTTTATACACATTTTCATCCTCCATGAAAACATCCACGCAGCGCGCGTGGTAAGATTATCCGTGGGTGAACTGAGTGCCATGTTTATATAGAATTTGAGGGGGATTGCCCCGGAGGGATTACCTTGGGAATAAGGCCCATATGGGGGATTAACTCTCTTTCTCTTCATCTTTTCCGATTCAACTTGATAACGTGGTAAGATTATCCGTGGGGGAACTGAGTGCCATGTCTATATAGAACTTGAGGGGGATTACCCCGGGGGGATTACCTTGGGAATAAGGCCCGTATGGGGGATTGACTCTCTTTCTCTTCATCCTTTCCGATTCAACTTGATAACGCGCTGTTACCCTGTATAGAGCGATGGTCGCTGAAGTTTTTGCTCATAATTACGACTTTGCTCAGAGAAGGCATTACGCTCAATACGAATTCACTACAGACATTAGAAGAGCTTGTGAAACTTAGAAATTGTTGAAATGTTTGGCTCTTTGGGTGTAATATTCAAAGAGGAATTGGCTTCAAAAACTACGAAATCTCTGGGTGGCAAAAGTGCTAATGAGCTCATACATTCTTTGTAAAAGTTTGAGTTTTAAACCCGCGCCGCACAAAAAGTATTTAATACATCGGGCTCAAATTCCTTGGGACAGTTAATGGTACTATGCGTTTTGAAAAAAAAAAANCGTGTCAAAGTGTTTTTTCACAGCATATCAGTGTTTTCAATCTCATTTTAGTGTACATGGGGAAAATGCTATAAAAACAGTAACTGTATGCACTATGGATGCAAAGCTTTAATTTCTATTCGATGCATTTAGTACATGTTCAGTTGCTTTCTGTTTTCAGTATTAGAACATCAAAAAAAGAATATTTTTTGCATATGGACAGGGTTCAGGTGTATTACTTAACTCCACTTGGATAAGATAAAACTGTAAATGTACTGAATCATCACTCATTGACAGGGATACCACCCAAGATTTTGTCAGGTTGCTGTCAAATTTCCCTCAACATATATAAAGAAAATCCTCTAGGCACCATTATTAACTGCAGCCTCAGTATTCCTCACCTCTCCTTTTGTCCTCCTTTCTGCTTGTTCTCGTTCTTGTTCATCTTGAAGAAGAATGAGACCAACAGCAATATCAGAAGGTACCAAATCTACATCATGAAGTTCAGATGCCAATATATCAGCAATGTCAGACACTGCACTCAGGTACTGATCATCTCTACCAGTGAAAAAGCAACACAGCCAACGGCATCTTTTCTCCCAAAGCTGTTTGAATATTTGAAATAAATAATTGATCAAATAAAGTAACTGATCATAATAAATTTAGAGAGAATAGAGCGATTTTCAATTGAGTGTCATAAACCAAAACCACACTAATTACATACCAATTAGATTAATCAGCCAGTCTCAAACCATATGTAGTTAAACTTTCAACACTCAGTCAAAAACCGTTCTACTCATTCAAATCATGATGGGTTTTTTTTAAATAACAAACTTTCATTTACATACAATACAGCCAGGTACGTAATTTACACTACTGATAATTGAAGGCTTTCATGCAAAAAGGGTGTATATGACATTTTGGGCCGATTTTTATTTTTTGCAGGATCAAGCTAATTTTGCAGACTGACTTTTTTTGACATGAAAAGCATTGTTGCATAATTGTTTTCGTTGATTTGAGCTTCGTTTTCGAGAAATAACCTATGTAAAAAANTATTAAAGAACTTTTCAATAATAAGTGGAGTAAATGACTTGAGATGGAAGACTTTTGAATGAAAGGACCCTTACCGGTATATATGAAACAAAAATATTGTAATTAAGTAACATTCAAGATCACAAGTAACATTTAGAGATTTTGGACAATAATTTACAAGTGGTCAAGCGGGTTGATCCTGTACCCTTAAGAGCTTGAACCTGGAGCCACTGTTCTTGTGATCCTTTGGTGCTGCACTACTCTCTTGGTTACCAGGATCACCGAGATTTAGTTCAGTTTAGTTTCAGTTTTTATTATCGCACACTATTTACAGAAAAACAAGTTAATGTAAGATGGTTTACAATGATACAGGAAAAATAAATACAGATAGAACACTGAGTACTACAACAGATCTCTACACGTAATATGTCAAACATGTAGACGATGTTTTACCACATTTCAAAACACAGAGGAGAGAGTTGAAAATACCATGTACAATGGAGTATTTTTGATGAACTTCATGGTGTTTGGAAAGGTAATAAAACACAGTATTGAGAGTTTGATATATCTTTCCAATACTGTACTAATAAAACTAATTGAGAAGCTAAACAAATGTGAAACTTGATGCAATTTGAGATCAGACATCCAAACACTGCCATAGAATTAATTACAGTGGAATTCCAACTTTTTGAATACTCAATCTTTCTAAACTTCCGATTCTTCCAACCAAAAGTAGTTTCAACCCTCAGAGCACGATATTGCAACTGCTGGGGTTGCTAATATAAAACGTGACCAACTTTTTTTCACTGGCAACTAACTTTCTACGCTGTTCAATGAAATACTTTTGCTGGTGACTAAATCTGAAAACTTAGGGGCCAGCTGGCACCAAGGTTTTTTCCTGAAAGTCGAGCCCTGACTCTGCACTTGGTCCAATACAAGTTTTACCCCCAATTTCTTGGGACTAACCGATTTTTTCAAGCAAACTGTTGTTTTCCTTTGAGGATTGAAAAATTGGGATTCCCTGTAGTGTCCAATAATTTTTGCAAAAATGTGAAAATTAAATCTGATTTGTACAACTACCTACATATATTTTTGAGATGCATTTTTCTACTTTACAATTTTTTGAAAATAATGGACACACGTAACATCATAGAATGTATAAACCAGACAAAGCAAACCTCCTTTGCTGATTCTTGCATAGTAGATGAAAACTCTCTTCCAAAAGGATCGTTGTCAACATGGCCCAACGGATCAAACAGTACCAAAACACCAATGAAAACAGCCAACAAGATGGACCACTCCAGAGCCACCGAAACCCAGACAGCAATTGTCAAGCTTACCTCACAGTCAGAGCTGCTATTAACTGCCCAGTAAGTACCAAGGATAGTCCACAAAAGTTCTGGCAAATACAGCGCAAGTTGGATATACAGAAATATTGGCATGTGGTGCCGAGGTCGTGCATCAGACAAGGTTCCCTGCATGCTGATGTAGATGATGGCAATTTCATTCAGAATTATCAGACTCGTCAAAACAATTACTCCAATGAAAAACAACCGTAACTCCAGCCAAGCATTACAATATTTGATCTCATCATTTTCAAAGCCATAGATCATGGATATCACAGCCAACCTTTGAAAGAAAAGATAAAAAATGGCTTGTTTCTAAGGAGACCCATTTCCATGACAACAGTTATGCTGCTGGTTCTGTTTCAATTAAGACTAAAATTCCCAGATTTTATCTCAAACAAGGATCATCCACTCCCACCAATCTAATGGGGAGAGTTAAGACAATATGGAAACCATGTGTGTTCCAAGCAAGACCCACTGTCCCACTTTAAAAGGTCATCACTTTCCTCATTTGCATAATACAAAAATATGAATATCTCTAAAACGAAAACAGATATTCCAAAAAGGAAAACGCCATACTTCTTTACTTTGAAAAGCCTTTCAAATAAGCAGCAATTATTTTTACTTCAGAGGCACTTTAAGAAAAAAATTTGACTTAAATGAACTCACCATAATACTCTGACTATAACTCCTACCGCTGCTGGGAAAAACAGATCATCGCTACCAATGCGCCACCGGCGTTTAAAAGCGATCAGGGCTGGCATATTCCTTAAAACTTGTTCAACAAACTCAGTTTCAACAATCTATAATTGATAGATCCCACAAACTATGAATCAGTTCATACTACATGTATTAAACTTGAAATTGCGTCGTTCCACGTTGCATCTAGGAAACAATTTCATAACAATGAAGTTTTGTCCAATAAATCATTTCAATGTCAACCAGAAAAGCGTTTTACCAGCTAATATAATCAACGAATAAACTGTTGATCGCAGTCGCCATATTGAAAGATGAGTGGAGATTGGAGCATAACATAGTGAAACATGCGCAGTAATGTGCTTCAGCTGGCGTCGGAAATCAATCGAATATTTTGCTTGTTCCTAATTCTTTTTCACTACTTAGCAAAAAATTTCGACCGTGATTACATGCTGCGAGATATAGGAGTATTCGTTTGTCTTCCTGTTACTTGAAGGTCATCAAAATTGGACTCAACTTTTGCTGTGTCTCTTCTTTTATTCGCTGGCTAGCGAGTATGGCGTCCAATTCACCGGGTAAGGGATAAAAAATCAAACTTGTTTCCTGTAAGTGGCGTCTAGAAAAATCTACAGGTCTGGTGGTTTACAAACCTTGTTATTATGTCAGTGTATCCTAATTAGTTTCAACCATCCTGTGGATTGGTTAATTACAGTTTTGAAGGGTGGTGGTGTTTTTAGAGATTAGTTTTAAGATTATTGTTTTAGTAATTTCTATGCCCTTCGTAATTACTTCTTCAGGGTAGTCATTGCTTTGTTTGTTGCGTTTTTGCTGTTATAGGTAGCAGATTATCGAGGGAGAAACTTAAGCTTGATTTCCAGGGCGGATTAGAGCGGAGAAAATTCAATCTTGCAGGATTGACTACCCGACAGCCAACCCCACTACAGTCAAACATGTAAGGTTTAGTCAGTAATAATAATTAATCTAATCTCCAGTTTTACGATTCTTGGTATGCGATTGGTCACAGGAAATTCTTATCTTATCTTAAGATATCAAAGGGTGTTTGTTAAAGATGTGGAAAGAGTTATGTTTGTAACTGAGCAGGTCATTATTTGATTGGAAAATTTAAATTAAGCTTATTTATTGCATTCAGGCTAATTATTTTAAAATCAATTTATCTTAATTGCATTGGTCTGACTCAATTGCTCTAGCAGGAAGAAGATTTATANGGAGCCCTGTTTACTGAGGTGATCATGTAAAACAATATTTATTGCATAGCCACCCACCCATAACCCCCTACGATGTTGTTTGAATCCAAGGTATCTAATTTTCCTTTTACAATGTTCCCAGAGCTACAGCTGTACATGTACTGCAGGACCCCACCTTTAGACTGTCTGTTACAGTTGAATTGACCAGTTTGCTAACATGGCCACTTAATTATGGCCCATACCAAATATCACTGGATTATAAACTTGCTATGATGTTACGGTAATTATTATGATCAAGACAAAGATTGACAAAGGCAACTACTGTACATCTGTACATGTAGATTTTCTTTTCAATTGTATGGCAAAAAAAGCAATACCTGTTTACAAACAAAATATTAATTAAATGTCTGAATAATTTATTTGTATCCATTCCAGTTATGATCAAATGAATCAGTTAGAATCAGTTACTGTTCACTAAAGTATGAGCAGGAGCTGGGAGTTGAATGAGTGATACTGTTCTGGTAATATAACATCGCTTTTATCAAGATATTTCTGGGAGGCTGCAGTATGATGTATCATACAGTTTGCATGTACATTTCAACCCCTATGAAACAGCCACCCTTGGGGAAAAGGATAATGGCCACTTAAAGGGGGCCAGCCACTTCATAGAGGTAAAAACAATAGAAAAGCCCTTATCGGGACTTTGATTACTGGTCCCCTAATAGGGCTTGATAGAGGTTTGACTGTAATTTGAAGTTGACAAGTTGCAATGTAATATGACTATCCATCCCAACCTGTAAAATAATTCAATCTGATTTACTCTATTCACCAGTTGAAAGTCAATCAGGAGAATTTCATAACTCCAACCTGTAACCTAACTTGTATATTTTTAGGGCGATGCTTGGATTTGTATGGAATTGATGGACACATCCTTCGATCAGTGCTACAAGCATATTTATGGTGTCCTGTTGGAGACCATACCTGAGGATATTCTGGGAATGACTTCATTAGCAGTATGTTTCTTCTCTTCAACATTTCCTGAGTCATGATTTTAAGATTTCGAGTGTTCTAAAATGATTGATTCTAAAGACATGATTGATTCAAAGGGACATGTTGGCATGTACAATACATGTATGCAACAAGACCAGTTGCAGAAAATAGCACCAAATCTGAAAATATGTTTAAAAAAACCTTAGCCATGTGCATTCACCAGACAAAGATAGAAGATATCTCTCATCAATGCAAGGTTATCTTTTTATAGCATATTGTGACTCAAATTCAGCACCATTTGTGCAATCTGTTTATCCTGCATTGGCATATCAGGGCTGTGCTCTAGAAGCACCTGGGTGCCACAGACAACTAACTTTTGCCTTTGGGTGACTGGAAAAACTTACTTTTTCATATAATTTTGTTTATTAATTATTCATTAATTTTTGCAAACTAGTCATTAGCTATTGACTTAAGTTAAGTGTCCCCAGTGAGCTAATCTATAGCTAAATACACTGACACATTCATAAAGTTTTCATTCATTGATTCATGCTTTAGTGCTGGACACCCAGGATTTCATGGTTAGGTACCTTTGGGCTTCTTGTTAATTTCTCTTAGACTACAGCCTTGAATATACATTTGTATCATAGATCAGACACTAAGAAAGAGTTTGCAAGAAGCTTGAAGCAGTCTGTTAAGCCTACTTGTATAACTTGGTTCGAATGCAGCCTACAGCTGTACAAAGTGTACCTGGGATTTTCTAACATTGCAAAGGACTGTTAAAAATGTTTGTTCTAGTATACAAAATTAACATGGTATTAAAATCTTAAAGTTGTTGTCACTGACTTAAAAATCTTAAAATATACTTTTCAGCTAAAACAGAAGCATATGCTTCTGTCTAAAATACTGTAACCTTCAGTGACATTCATTTCATCACTGAAGAAGGTTATAGTATTTTAGCTGAAACGTCTATTTTCAGATTTTTAAGTCAGTGACAACAAATTTTAAGATTTTATTACTATGCCTGACTATAACTACAGTATTTTTTAACATAGTATTATTTGTTTTATGAAGAACATTGACAAGAATTTGACAGTTAGAATCAAATGCGGTCCCAGTAAAGAATTAACATTGTCCGTAAAAGTTCACATGCATTTGTTGAAACACGTTTAGATGGTGAAAGATTGTCAGCCTGTCTTTGTGCTACACAGTTAACATACAGATGTAGCTAAAATGTTGACTAAAAATTTTCTTCCTTTGTAGGTAGTCAAGGCACTGGACTATCTAAAAACCAAGCTTAATATTATTCATAGAGGTTTGTTTACATTAGTTTACTCTTAGTATTGAGAAAATGAATCTCTATGCAGCAAATAACAGCTTGCTTTAACAACATATCAGGTTTATTTGGTCTAGCCATGCTTATTTTCATGGCTGGAAGTCCTACATCTCACCAGAATACACGTAGAAACAAACATGACTTGACTTAACACTCCTGATACAGTATGCCACCAAATCCTATCAAAAAAATTAAGGTACAATGTACATGTATGATTACACACAGATGTTAACTCAAAATAATCAGGAAGTATTCTTTGTGATTAAGTGATATTGTTGTTAATAGATATATGTGTGTCTTTTCCTTTTCAGATGTGAAACCTTCCAACATTCTCCTTGATCTCCAGGGAAATATCAAATTATGCGACTTTGGCATTAGTGGCCAACTGGTGGACTCCATTGCTAAAACCAGAGATGCTGGNGTTGGTCCTAGGCATAAATCTTCCACATAAACAAGGTAGCATTTGATGTTATCCAAATGTCCCAAGTGATTCTCAGGTCAGCATTCTTGAAAAAGTGAATGGAATAACCAGACCAAAGGAAAGAGTACTTAACTACTGAAAGGCCAACAGTATCTCTTTTCAAAGGTTATTTTCCCGACTGGTCCTGAATAAAATGTTGTGTAGTGTGGAGAACTTATTCTGAGATGTTGTAACCTTTTCAGATTGAACTTGCCACTGGGAAATTTCCTTATCCTAAATGGAAGAGTGTCTTTGATCAGCTTAGTCAAGTTGTCAAAGAAGAGCCGCCTCGCTTGACTAATGAAGATGGAAGAAACTTTTCAGACGAAATGCTTACCTTTACAAATGTGTGGTAATGTATCTTTATTAATGACGCAATTTGAAACATCTCCAAACTCTCACATTTTACCTGAGTGAATACCACAACCACTTTTTGAGAGTTTTCTATTAGTTGTCGTCAACAGAGGTCTTACTTGAATGAGAATTCATTGCTAAGAAGTGTTTAGTAAATGTGTGGTTAAATGTCCTACATTATATTGTTTGTTTTCTTTCACTCCTGATAGCTTGACAAAGGATGTTACCAAAAGACCAAAGTATAGGGAACTACTGAAACACCCATTCATTTTGAGGTACGAGGAAAAGCAAGTCGACGTTGGGTCCTGGCTCAAAAGAATTTTGGCGCAGGCGCCACTGAACTTAGATAAATTGGAGTTATGATGTCTTTTTACAACTATTTTTGCACAAATGAAATGTAAATACTTAATAATTCGTAAAAAAAATGTACTTGTGTGGCAGTTTGTGGAGAATGGCATCTCTTAGTCTGAATCAGTACAGGAACTTCTTTTCACCCGCTAGAATTGCTGATATTAGACCTTTTTTTTTAGTTTGGTTGTCTTATCATGTAAGTAAATTTTCATTTAGCATTGTTTTACTGCGCTTAGTGATTGGTTTAGACCTATAATTGTTTTAATTTGAGTGTGGAAAGTAAATTTGCATTTGCTTATGTATTGGTGTTGCATTACAGCGATTAGTCGTTGGTGAAGAAAACAAAACTTTGTCAATCATTCAGAATTAAACTCCAAACAAATCATGACTCGCCTACACACATTTTCCGGCCCATTACGCTAACTTAAATGTACATGAATTTGCTGTGAGGTTTGAATGGTTTGCTGGATTCTCTGTGTTCCTCGTGCTTATGATAGCAATTTTGGTTCTAGTATGGCCTGGTAGCTCCCAACCATAAAATCTTGTGTCACATTTACCACTATCAGTCCATGGATCAAAGCTGTTAAACACACCTTTGCACCATTATCTTAATCGCAAAGAATTCAGTAGCTTGGCTATCATTTTTCCTGCTTCAAGCTAAGATGTGCGATGTCAAAGCCTGCCAACAGCCCTTAGGTAACAAACAAAGTGACTTGATAATTATATTTGTTAAAATGGTGCTGACTCAGATTTTGATTTCATTCCTTGTAATTTATTCAGGGGCCAAAGGTTTTGATAAGTATTGCATTACACAAGTGAAATGAAGGGTTACTTTTATCCCTAACGAAGACTCTCTCTGCTTACCTTCATAATTGAGTCACAATTGTTTAAGGGACATATTGGGTTAGAAAGATGTGATTTATAAAGGTTGGTGTGGAACATCGTGGCTTTGTTTTCTATAGTGCAAATAAAATTGACAAAAAATTGCGACAGAACATTTCTTAAAAGCATTCTAAGATTTAAAAAGCTAAAAAGCTGAATTAAAATCGACGACGTTTCGACGTTACAGTAACGTCAATCAAGTCGAAACGTCGACGATTTTAATTCAGCTTTTTAGCTTTTTAAATCTTAGAATGTTTTTAAGAAATGTTCTGTCGCAATTTTTTTATTGTCAAATGTTTTTCTAAGTCACTTCTTTTCCGCAAATAAAATTGTATCGTATCGCTATGTTGTATTTGTTGGCTGTTTGCCCATTTCTGAGGTTGGGCTGAAGTGGTGTACAAAGAAAGCAAAAATCAATTCTGAAGTTAAACTTTTGCATTCCCATACAAACCTTTATAATTCAAATATTTCTAACAATGCCTCTAAGGAGAGTTGCATTAGAGGGACGTTAGGCTGCCTGTTGAAAGTATTTAGAGAGCTTCATCGTTCGAGCTGTGATTGTCAATATAATTTTAAGTTTTCTGGGGTGAAAGCTGTTTTAAATGAGCATTTGAATTTACAGAGCTGTCTAAAATAATTTGTGCCTAGCTTCTGCACGGGCCGGGCTCTCAATGAGGTATGAGATGGGACCACGATAGCAAGTGTAGGAGAAGTAACAGTTACGTGTATTTATCCTCTTTCCCCATTACAGGAGCCCGTGGAGAGGCAAGGTTATGCTTTTTATATTTAAGAAACGAAATGAAAAATATAAAGTCAACAAAGATGATAGCTAACAATGTATAAAATTATGCACACTGTTGCTGTAAATGTTGTTTGAGATTTGCAGCGATGTGGCTAGTTGAGTTGGGTTTTTTTAAAATATTGCTTCTTGTATGGTAACGTATTGTGTTCTCCCCCCATAAGTAGCAAATTTTCGGAAAGCAAATTGTGAGAATTTGCTGCAAGATAGATTTGTTTTGCTTTGAATGTTTACTTATTGTTCAAAAAATGTTATACAAAGCTACATGTAAGCTGATGTACTAGTAAAAATTCCAAATTATTGCAATGAAAAAAGCATATTTTTAGCGCTTTTGAACTTGTCTACATTGTCCTCATTGTGCGACTTCGTGCTGTGTAGTATTTATTAAAACGATAAATGAATTATTGCCTGAGGAGAGAGTGAACAACCGAGGAAATCAGAGTGGAAATCTGGGTGGAAATGTAGTGGACATTTGGGTGATACAGAGGAACTCCTCCTTACGGTCAGCTCGTTAATACGCTCACCTCGTTATCACGTCCAAATTTTGCCCCGACGAGACGGCCATACATTTTCATACAAGAAAACCCCGCTAATACGGCCAACGGCCACATTCTCAAATCCCAACCTGTTTTTCCTCATTAATACGGCCACTCAAACCAGTAAATGTTCATCTTTCCATTGTTAATATTTCATGTAGTTATTCAATATTTTACAAAAATTATAACTGCATCCGGAGCTTATTAAAGAATTATAGTAGTTCAGAAATGCATTGTGATATATCTGTGAAGACGCCACTCAATTAGACCACT